TATTAGCTGTTCTTTCTAGATTATCCTTGGCCAATATAATTGATTTCTGAAAAGATTCCCAATCAGCTGCCTCATACTTCCAGTGTCGCTTTATATTTTGTGGAAGAGACGGCCCATTAACCTGTATAACGATGGGGAAATGGTCGCTTCCATATAAGTGGGTTTTAGTTCTCCAGATGCATTTGGGGGCCAATCTGACGTCCGCGATGCTCAAGTCAATGGCAGAGAGACTATTACTTCCTGAGCCGAAGTGTGTAAATGAACCGGTATTAAGAAGAATAGCAGTGCTGCTAAATTCTAAAAATTTAATAACGCTGTGTCCTCTATGTCCAATGTCTGGTAGTGGGGAGCCCCAAAGAAAACTATTTGCGTTAAAATCCCCCAAAAGAAGATACGGCCTTGGTAGCTGACTAACAATGTGTTCAATGTCATCCTTTGAGAAATCGACAGCGAATGGTATGTAAATGTTACAAATTGTCAGGGGTTCAGCTCCTTTGATTACTGTTGCGACTGTTTCTATGTGTGTGTCTAAATTTAATTCCTCGGAGAATAAGTCAGCCCTCACAAGGGTTAAAACACCACCCCAAGATCTCCCTGCTCCTTGTCTATCCCTTCTGTAGGCTCGATATCCTTTGACATTTAAGACATGTTTTTCATTCAAGTGGGTTTCTTGTATGCAACAGCACAGTGGAGTTTCTTCATTCATTAATTTCTGAAAAAATTCTAAATGGCGAAATAACCCATTACAATTCCACTGAACTATTTGCTCCATGGAGTTAAACATTTTTTTATTTTTTGGCCTGAAGATCAACACTAGAAAGCGTTGAATCGTCAGAGTCTGAAAATAGTTCTGTGTTGGGACTAGAAACAGTACCACTTAGTTCTTTAATAATTTTTGATACTCTAATCTTCATTCCTCTGTTGGGTAACTTGTGCCTTACATCAGTCAGCATAGTTTTCAATCCATCGATATTTTTTGTAAACTGTGTGGCAAGTTGTTTGATGTTACCGGCTTTTTCATTATGAGCCATCTCAAGAAAGAGGCATAATTTTGAGTAAGCTAAGGGATATTTGTGGTCATTTGTGACTAAAATACGAATTGGTTCTAACATTTCCTTCATTGTTTGATTGTTGTTTTTTCGTTTTGCCATAGGAACTAATGTTTTCGTTATTTTATTACTTTTGTTCAATATTTTTTCTTGTTTTATACTCTCGGTTTGTTTATTTTTTAGTTTGCCTGTTTTTAATGAGGTTATACTGAAAGGAATCTCAGTTGGAGTAGCAGACATATGTTCGGTGATTACTGTTCTTAGGTTAGTTTTATTTTTAGTGTTACTTTGTTGTGTATTTTGGATTGTTGCACTGTGTTGTGAATCTTCCGATTTAGCAGGGCATGGGTTTGCTACAGGGCCATCTTTACTCAGGATTGTAAAATCGAGATGCTGAGAGATATTTGTATTATTGTCATTTGTGGTAAACGAAGTGTTTTCTCCCCTGTCCTTCATCAGCTCTTCGTGGGCTTCAACCAAACTGTTAACGGCTGACGGCAAAACGGCCAAGTTATTGGCCTCATCGGGATTTTTAACTTCGCTGAGTGGACAATTTTTGCTTATATGTCCCTCTTCGTGGCAAGAAAAGCATCTAACTTCGTCACCATCTAGGAACAACCTATAGGTATCTCCTTCGAATTCCACGAGAAAGTTAGCAGGTAAAGTAGGTAGTGTATCCGGTTGTGCAAATGTGTGTCTTCTGGAGCTGAGGATATGCTCATACCCGGGTATTTTAATCCCTGCGCGAAGGTAATTTACTGCCGAGTATAGCTTGAGACCTATCTCTTTTAACTTATTTTCTATTAGAATACTGGGGAGATATGGAGGGACATTGGATATGACAATTCTTTTTGATTGTACAATAAGGGGGCGTGCTGGAATGAAATTACCATCGACTGTAATACCCTTGTGTACTTGAAGGAAGTCTAATACATGCTGTTTGTTTGACAGAAACAAAACGATTCGGTTATTAGAGATCTTAGAAGAAAAAATTATATTACCTGGGCCTATCAGTTCCCCAATTCCTACGATATATTTCAAGATGGAAGTTTTTTCCATTGCAGTGAATACAATACCCTGGTCTTTCTTTGGAGTCAAGGTTGATTTTGCAATTGAGGCAATAAATAATTTATTAAGGGCCCAAACCTGGCGGTTGAGCGTGATCCTGACCCGATCCCCTCCCTGCACAACCGTTAGTCTTGAAACAGTACTTTTCCTAAATAGTACTGAACCCAAGACCCTTCATGGGTTGTAGTGGAACAGGTTATTTTAGTTAATTATCTTAGTTACTGCATTTTTCGCCTGAGTCTCCTTTAAAACCATAGCCATAAAAATCGTTTATTCTATATTACAAACAAAATATTTAGTCTACTTTCCATATCCTCAAACACATATTTTCTTTTTTACTCGGTTAAAGTAAAGTGATTTAAACACTTAATTCAGAGGTTATGTTTAGATTTATAATCAAACTAATAATAGTTGTTATTAATAATGCTAACGGACCACTTGAACTATTCGGAATAATTTTGTGAACATTTTAAATTATCTTATCAGAAAATTGATATTGCGAAGAAAATAGTTGACAAGTTTATTTTATAGAACTTTAACCAACGTTTTACTAAACCATTAAGAAAAAAACAGTCATGTCATGGTAAGTCAACATCAGTTTATTTTATAGATAGCCGATGTTTACACTTATATACGAGCCTATCTTAGCATCTTTGATTTATTTATTTATTGTCAATATCCGACCGGTAATAGTTCCACAAACATGTCACCTTGATAAGATATGATTCTAGATTTACAATTTGCAACGTAAACCAGGATTATTGCGAACTTTGGATTCACTGTTCAATAAAAGTTGGATAGCTCGTCGTGACAGGAAATAAAGAGATTTAAATCTTTTTTAATAATCTTTCAGGCTGTACTTTAAGAACGGCAGTTCTAAATTCACATACAACACTTTTAAATTGTTTATTTTCTGCTTGAAACCTATTCATTCAATTTGCTTTTTTATCGGTAAAGAAGGTACTTGAGAAAATATGAATATGGCGCTGGATGTTTTTTGTACTCTACGTATTTGATCCATACCTTATCATAATTCTTTTTATTGTAGTCTCAAAAATTTTAAAATATGTTTCAGGCTATGATCACTAATTCTTGCTTACAAAATAGTTTAGTATTACAAATTATTATTAAATTATAGTTATAAATGGAAAAATCCAAACTACAAAGCCATGAGTTCCCAACATACATGGAAATAGTTAACTTGTCAACATTTCGCCAATTTATACATCATCGTGGCATAAAAATCATTTATTAAACATTTGAATTTATTTTTAATTTTATTTATTTATTTTATTTAACACGTTTTATATATTCTAGTTATACCTACTTTTTTTTCCTTTGTATTCTTGCTGTTCAGCTGTTCAATATAACCTTCCTTATTTGTCTTAATAGAAACTCCTCTTCTCTTCAGTATGTATTTGGATGGTTTCATGAGATAACTGGAATATTTTTTTGTCTTTCTCCATTTATGTGATCTTGTTTTTCTGCCCTGATCATGCCTGCATTGGTCAAACGTTGGCTAATTAACTATTCATTCGAATGTTAGAGTCTCGTGGCTTTGTAGTATGGATTTTTCCATTTATAACATAATCACCTTATGTCTCTTTTTTAGCTTTATGCTTATTTCTTTAAATTATAGTTTATTTATTTAAATTTAAGTACTGATGGTCAGCACCTAACAAATCATTTTCTCTTCAGTTCCTACATTTTTTGTCACGCATTCCATTGTAATCTTGTCTTTCAGTTATTTTTCTCGTCTCTCATGAGTAGAAATCTGCCAAGATTGTTTCATTTAAGACATCAGGGTAAGTCTTAGTTTGGTTTCCTATCCATCTCAAACTTCTATTCATCAGAATTATTTAACAGGTTATAGATGTACTTATTCATTACTTCATCGCCACCACGTACTTCGGACAAAATTAGATTATAAATGTTTATTTTTATATCTTTCAAAAATTAGGAAGTTCTCGATATGTCAATTTAACACATAGTTTTGCAGAAATGTCTGTATTGTGTAGAAATTAGCAAAATCGAAAGTATGTTTAATAATGTAGGAAATACTTTTCTCATTTCTTAGATTAATGGTTGTTGTGTTGTTTCTTTAAATAAGGTAAGACAGTAACTTTGAAATATAAAGAATAACTATCAGTGCCATCGTAAAGGGAAGATGACGTCGTAACTGGAAACCTCGAATTAGAAACAAAAATATGTAGCATGTAATATTCTTGAAAACTATTTATACTCTCATTCCATTTTCTAAAATTACAAACTGGCTATTAATTCAATATTTATCGGCAATTGGTTGAAGATGTATCTAGGTGAAATATGTGTAACTCTTAAACATAAGTAAACAGTTGTGACAGAAGGCTATGAGGTGGGTACCTAGTAAAATTTCTCTCAGAGCGCCTACAACCCACACGATAGTAATATAATAATATTTGAAATTAAATTTTGAGTTCCTTTTTTTAATAATTAACATGTAAAAGCAGAAAGCTTCCCTAATTAATGTCGTGTTTTCCATCTCTGATACAGAAACATGTATGATGTATTAATTTATTTATTTTCTGATAAATTAAAAAATATGATGACATTGGTTATATCATTGTTGATTATTCGTAATTAAAATTTGTCCAAATATGGTAATGATCATACAACACAAACTGGGATAAAATGTCGTTTTGTTACGACCGTCGTTGTCTTGTTATGATATTCTACATGTAATTGTCCCCTGTTTTCCTAGTCAAATCCGATTCCCTTCCAGGCTAATTCTCTCATCCAATTATATTCCGACCCTCGTATCCTTCCCAGTGTCAACCCTCACAACATACAAGTACTCCCCACTTGGACTGGATCCCTATACAGCTCTATTGAACTGTATGATACCTTGACACAGCTGACATATTATTGCCATATATAACACGCCATATGCGACCCCCATGTCTTCTTTGCTGACCCCTATCCCATTGAGCCGTCCCCCTCCGTTGATGTAACTAACCAGGAGAGGCTTAGTTAGCATAATCAGGACCCAGGTACAATACAAGGATAGGAACCCTCCTGACGGGACTATGCCATATGCTGTGAAGGGTGTGAATCATTTACATGAGTGACCTGGTTAGATAATAGGCCGCATTATCTACACGCTACACTTAACAATATACACTTAAGCCTTTTTGTATGTGTTTTTTCTCCTATTTCAGCCCCCCAACTAATTTCGACATCTGCTGGTCCGGTAATTGATCTCGTAAGTTGTAGTTCGGTTTCTCTGGAACTATCGGTTCATTTATTGACGACCATGAATAATGGAAGAGGAAATTAGTTCGTGGAACTAACTGCTCTATAGGACAGTCAATAATCTGGAAACAATCATCTTAATAGCCCTTTTAGTCGTAATAAAGTTTACATATTGTTAATTTCGGTTATTTCAGCCAGGTGGAAACTTTCAACGACTAATCAATATTTCAATATTAAATTTTTATCGTCCATTAACCTCCCAAGTCGACTGATCGGCGGTCGCCAAGGATCTCCAAACCAAAGAATAATTGGTTTATATTTTTCAATACTCAGATAGTTTTTAATTACACTACTTTATAATTAGATCCACTTAAATCATTTCCTTTTTTCTCCTCAATGCTTTTGCGTGTAAAATACATAAAACGAAAGTTCATTTTCTTTGTAATAACAGTAAGTTTGCACATCTGTCGAATCGATGTGCCCAACCAAGCCCACAGGCTCAACCCTATACGTATGTTGAATTGCATCTTGGTTACGTAAGATGTAAGTGAGAATCGATCATAATCCTTCTTGCTCCACATTTCTTAGTAGTACAATATTCCATTATGTTCCAAAAGGATTCTATTTCTTTTTTTTTGCACCTGTAACCGGATCAACGTTTTCTGAATTGTTGACACCGAGGTGTTTATATCTATAACTTGAACTTTTCTGTGTTCCAGAATAAGATTTCCATAAATCAGAAAATATTTTTGTACCTAATTTGATAGCTCCTCTGATACTTGCAATGGAATTGGCAGCACTTCTATCAGGAAAAACTATATTGTTTGCGTTCTTCAATGGTTCCAAATGGTTTACTAACAGATACCACCGAAGACCATCTGTTGAGGGAATGCCCTTCCAATTTGAGAAACATGTTTCATCGATCTCAACATGAAATCCTTCGCCTTCAATAATCGCCTTAGCCAATGTGTCACGGGCAAAAACTACTCATAAATTATTATTCCAATCTGTAATACTATTTCCTAACATTTGAATTTTACACTGACATTTTTTATAATATATAACACCTTCTAATTTTGTATAAAAATCCATATCATTGTTACCAACAAATTCGCTATAACATATCGGTATCATTGTAACCTTGTATAATCATTGTTACCTTCGTGTCACTTCCTAAAGCGGCACTTAGTTTGAATAAATTCATTTTTGCATTTCAAATAACCTTTATTGTTAGTCCCTGGTACAGACCCTTTTTATCGAATTATTAACATATGGCAAAAACATCATAAATAGTTTCATCTCATCGTAACCTACAACTATTTTATTTATGAAAACTCTTGAAATTGGGGTGTTTTCAATCTGGAGGGGGGCAAACATTGTCTGTTTAATTAGGTACTTAAAACTCGTAAATATCCATTTGCTGTCAACTTTTATTGTAACTTTGATAAATCGAGAAAAAAGGCGACCTTAAAAAATATTGAACCATTTGTCGTGACCTACACTCCCAAATTTTCCAAATAACGAGGCTATATAGTGCAAACGGGCCAATATTTTTTAAGTCACCTTTTTTTATCGATTTTTCAATCAAATTATCTTAGAATTCAAATGGATATTTACGAGTTTTTAGTGCCTAATGAAATAGACAAAGTTGGCCTCTCTGCAGATTGAAAACGCCCTAATTCCAAGAGTTTTCGTAAATAAAATAGTTGTAGTTTACGATGAGATAAAACTATTTGCAAAGTTTCAGGCGGATGTTAATAAATCGGTAAAATGGGGTCTGTTTCACTGACTATGATCGTCTATTCATTTCTTAGTTCAATAACGCATATGTTTATAGTATCAATTATGAATTCCGTAACGTGTTTAAGCAACTATTAGTAATTATGAAGAAAAAAAAATCATTGGTATGTTTAAAGTAGACCAGAGTTTTTTTTAAAAATTTAATTTATTAAATATAAATTTATTTCTTAGTAAAGATACTGTCAGAAAGAAAATGCAGAAAGTTCTAGACGACGTCATAGTTGTTTACTTGAACCAGATATCAACGAATTATGATTGATGGACGAAATAAATATTTAAAACTCCCTGAATTATGTCGGATTTCTATGTTGTACGTTCATCGCCGCCAATATATTCCGCCTGCTATCCTTTAAGGCTGTAAAAGCGCCAATTAAGTTGATTGGTGGCGTTTTCTTCTCAATTATGAACACCGGCCGAACCGCAGTCGTGCCTGCTAGCCATTACATAGTAATTACCTCGGCTAGATATGCAATTGGCGTGTCTTAGCTGTCCGTGACGTGACATGATATGTGGGCTCCATGTCTCACCGATATACTGACAGTTTGCTAAATGTCTTGATGGACAATTTGGGTGTCAGTTGTCAGATGCTAAATATATCATACGCTCACGTTTATACATAATTCACAATAACCGCGAAGAGATGTATTTTAATCCTGCTGAATCGTACTCCACATTTTTTTTTTTGCGTATTAAACGATCTTTTCGGATGAAGGCGTCATATAATACCTAACATCAAATAAATATCTATATTTTAGATATCTTTTAAACATTTCATTCCATTAAATCCATAATGCATAGTCATTAAAAATTAAAAAAAAAAATAATCCGAAAATCTTGCAAATATTTTACAAGATTGTGACTGATCAGTTTTTTTTTTTGTTGCTTTTTTACGGTACATTCCTGCTTCAGTATTTGTTTTTCCCAGTGATTGATTACATTCATTCAGGTTTCTTTAATATTTTCGGGGTAAAGTTATTCCATCTTTGAATAATCTAGGCATTGAATGATAAGAAGAATAAACAAATAATCCGTCACATGAAACAGATTGGTTAAACATATTTTACCTTATTTTTTTTTGCTACCTCACTACCGAAGGTAATCGAAAATTTTCTACAAAAATCTTATTTGTGGTTGTGTTTATTTCCATTGAAGTTCATCAACTATTTCGTCTTGGTCTCGATTTTCTCCTTAAATATCGAAGTTCCATCTTTTTATATTCGAGCTTAATTAGTTTTGTTCTAGTTGAAGAAAAGTATTGGTCTCGTTAACTCCGAAGAAATAACAAGTTGAATTTTATCTATGGATTTTCTCATTCCATCCATTTTATGAATGAAAACATACCTATTAAATATATATCACTACTATTGGTGCAAAAGGTCGTATGTAATAACTGACTACTGATATAGTGAACTCCATGTACAGTATGCATTGTTTTTTTGTTTTTTTTAAACTAAGAATAATCAATATGGAATCTTCAAATACGGCTATGTTTCGCGTTTTAATATTAGCTGATAAACGAAATTCATGAGTTAAAGTATCGGAGACAGTGGAGACTTTATAAATAATGGGTTTATTCATTATGTTACAAATGGCATCTAAAATATAATATAAGTAATATAATATGGATATATGAGTTGACTACATCAGTTCACTCCAGGTCTCCTACAGTGAAGAGTCTGACTCAAGAATGTAACTGTATGAGTGATTTTGGTGTGAGGATCATAGGGTTATATGCTCAAGGATAGTAGGGTGGATGAATCAATTCTGGTCGGTCTAGGAAGCGTGTGAATGAAGTTATAACTATTAAGAATTGATATCCTTATCTTTTAGAATTGACATGAAATCTGTGAGAAAGTGCTCTTTTGCTGAAAAGGGTTATTGTTCCCTAAGTCTTGATAAGTGTCTTCTGTCCAGTCAGTACATTCAAGATAACTATTTCTAAGCTATTAATTAATAGATATTTAAGATTATATAGTATTCGATTAATTATCATGATATACATAAATATTTTCTTAAATTTATAAATTTGTTCCTTAAGTTTTCTTTAATAAAATAACATTCATTATAAACAAGATGAAATTTACATGACATTATTTCTAAGCTATCAGAGATAGCTTGACCTGGCTATCTAGGGCTTTGATAAAGGTCATGAGAAAGGTCAATGAATGATTTAAATGATTAAAATAAATAATATTTAATATTAATAGTTGTTACGGATTAAGTCCATTCCGTAACTATGTATATCAAACTCGCGAATGTTGAAGGGTAACTGTATTTCCGAATCGGCTTCTCCCATGGATTTTATTCTCATACGAAAAATTGTATACCTTGTAATATTGATATATTTTAGGTGATGAAAAAGGTGAGGAAGCTATACTGACCTTACTTGGCAGACTTTTTTTTTTTTCAAAACCATCCGAATCCTCTCCTTTCAAACCTTTCTTCTTCTTTGATACCTGATAATCCTCAAAGGGGTCTGAAAATAAGATGTCCTCGTGATCTACTTATCCCCACATATATTATTACATTAAGGCTCGAAATCGGTTTTGTACCAAATATAAGCTCCTGTCATGCTCAAATACCATGAATGGGGTACCGTTGGATTCAAAATTTCATGTGGGATTAGCTATTTCTCCTCTTTTGTTTTTCTTTCTAAAATAAATAAAGTCAATACAAACATTTTGCTAGGCTTCAATACTGGAAGTCTGTAGATCGATACGGGATAAATTGGATCTTGAAGATTTTGATGCGTACTGCGTTTTTAAGCCCCAAAATGTACTATTTTCGAGATACCGCATGGCATAAGGTTCGCAGATTAATTGTAGTACTGTCATTGAATACTTTGAGATATTTTTGGTTAATTTGAATTTATGATATTTATTAATTATTACATGTACAACACCTATGTGGTTAGTACTAAGGCAATTTTAAATATGTGTACCTTCATAAATAAAGAATGTATTTCTCTAAATTCTATAGCGTTTA